ATATTCGGAAATATGGCTGTGACGAGGGGTTGGTTATCACTGACGGCGATGCGTAAAATAGCTAATACAATGGCTTTGTGGCTACCGGCTATTTTCGTTAGCGGAATTGGATTTCTTGACGATGCAAATGAAGCACTCGCTATTGCACTGTTGACCTTGAATGTAGGCTTCCATGCTGGCGCAACCATGGGCTGTGTACTCAGTGCAATCGACTTGTCACCGAATCATGCTGGTGTTGTAATGGGAATTGTAAATCCGTTGGCGAATATGATACCTTTGATAGCTCCATTGGTGGCAGGCGCTGTAGTCACAGATGAGGTGAGTTGATGCATATTGGGTAGAATTACTTTTAGGGTATAATAATTTTACACTTTAACACCTCTTTTGTTGTTTTTTTTTTCAGCACAATCGCAATCAGTGGCAAACCATATTCATAATTTCAGCAGCTATATTCTTTATCGGAAATTTAGTATTCCTAATATTCGGTTCCGCAAAGGTACAACCATGGGATGCACCTGATTACTTATTAAAGGATAACGTTGAGGAGGTAAATGAAGAGGCGCCAAAGAAAATTCAGGCGATGAATTAAGGAAAAGATCGACGGCCGATTTAAATTGAATGCTATCGCTGATTTAAAGTCTCGAGTAAATCAATAGAAATCGCTTTGTTGCGCTCTAAGCGTTTAACTAGCTGTAATCTTATTGTTCACTGTGTTCGTTATAATTAAGTATAAATGAATTTCAGAAAATACATATGTTACATATGTAGTAGCTAGTGATTATTTAAGTAAAAATTAACAATAATATGTAGCTTTCGAAAAGCAAAGGTTTTTAAAATATGTTCGAGGGCTTGTGTTTAGATTTTTATGCAAAATAAAGAGCCCAGAAATATGCACCACATAACTATAAGCAAAGTGTATAAATTTGTATACATATTAAAAAAATGTCGTGTCGTCCATTTCCGCTGTAATGTATGTAGTGCATATTTTTTGGCGCAATATTTAACGACATTTACTTCTAGTGCCTAATTGTATGTTCTTTGATATAATATCTACCGACGCGGTTGATGTCTAGACTTTTTATAGGAACTTTGATTTAAACTGGATAAACAACATTGTGGCTGCATTTCTTTAT